ACTTCCTTGACGTACTTGTGCGCCGGTGTACCACTGGACAGCTGCAAACTACAGTATTCCGAAAATCCACCGACACGAGACGGATCCTACACTTCAATAGCAACCATCCACTGTCTCACAAACGTAGTTCTGTCCGCATTCTATTCCAAAGAGTCGAAACACACTGCAGCACACCAGAAGATAAAAGGGCCGAACGATTGTACCTTGTGGACCTATTTGCAGCCAATGGTTATCCCAGGCATTTCATCGAGAGAAGCAGACGTTGGGCGCCCAGACAACGGCCAAATGAGCAGCAACCCGAAGTCTGGAGGGCCATTCCTTACGTTAAAGGGGTATCTGAAGCGGTCTCGCGACTGTTACAACCCACCAGAGTAGGCATAGCCCATCGACCACAAGCAACAATTCGACGTCGCCTGATGCAACCTAAAGACCCATTGCCACCCGCTGAAACCTCAGCAGTCATCTACAAAATAAGTTGCGATGAGGGCGACTGCAACTTTGTGGGCGAAACTGGGCGGAAATTGCAAACTCGCCTACAAGAACATAAATCGGCCACTCGGAGGTTAGACCCTAACTCTCAACTAGCAACACACGTTGGGGAAACGGGGCATACTTTTGACCTCCAGAGGGCTACCATCTTAGGCCGAGGCAACACAAAAGCAGAACGGCTAACTCTCGAGGCGTGGTTCTCCGATGCCCACTCTATCAACAGGCGTCTGGACCTTCCTGCAGCTTACAAAGTCCTACGTCATCACAATCGTACAGCTCAGGACCAAACAACCACACCGGACTCAAGAAGACAGCACGGAGATAGCCCGACGCTGAGCTTACTCGGTGAGGAAGAACAAGAACCGCCAGACCGACCGCCCGACTAAAGTCTAATCAGCTCCCCTCGACGGAGTGGTGACTCATAAAGCGCACAGGCAAAAACGCCCGTCAACCATTTCCTGAGAGGCCGACGCAGCGGGAGGAGAGAAAAAATCGATCAGCATGAGGCCAGCCAACACAGCTTGCCACTTTAAATTAAATTTCTGATCGATTAGATGCAGTTTACGCTTTGACAATGAAGAGCCGACCCAGCTCTTTGAAACGTCAGCAGTTAAATAAACCTGTTCCGGAGAGCCAATTTTCTTCTTCTAATGATTTAGAAAGTGTTTTATCTTACTCTAAAATAAATGTGTGTTGCTATTTGAAAAGGACTTATTGGCTTTTATTTTAAATGCTATTAAGTTTCGACCTTTCGGACTAGAACTTGGGAGGACATCCCATATATTCGCATATCATATGGGGTAGGAGTTAATAGGCGGGACTACTTTAATCTGGGGACGCTTATAATTCCTTCTTAATTCCAAGTGTTTCGGAGGTGATTGTCATTTTTTAATATAATCATTTTGAGAATATTTTGGTCATGTGTGACCCTGAATAGGAAATTTGGATCCTCTTTGGAGTTTCTGATTCTGGAGGCCGTAAATCGTATTTTTGGTATAGTTCTAAGTCTGAACCTCGGAGGCCATCACAATAAAACAAAGATTTAACAATAAGTCTCCGAGCGTTGCCTATCTTCTTTCGACCATGTGAGGGCATTGTCAAAGAAAATTGCATAAACATTTCAGAGAAGTAGGACGCACATCTTATATAGTTGTGTGTTGAGGGCATCTAAGGTGAAATTTCTACGTATGAATCCGCACAGGCGAGGGAATTCCGGTGATATTTGCTTGATGTGGATGAATAAGTAGAGCATATTTGAATAGCTCAGAATTAAGTCGTTTATTAATTGGTTCTCCTTTATTTCATTATTCTCGAAACTTATAGGAGAGGATTCTGAGCGCTGCAAATAACAAGATGGCATTTTGTCGGTGATAATAGCATTCTCTGCAATACTGGATATTCTGCTATCAAATGACCTACAGCTAAACGAATAAAGATTTGACAAACTTTTTATGAATGTAACGTATAACGAAGAGACCTATACAACATGTTTTAGGCTTCTTCAGAAATTCCTTGAAATGAGAAAGAAAGTAAGACGCCTAAAGATGGGACTGGAAAAGGTGAAAAACATTCTCGCTATTAACCTGAAAAGAGAAAGTCGGCGACGCCATAAATTCAAAAGAAAAACGCACGCATGTGCGACTTCTTCAGCCCCACAAGAAGTCGAAAAACAAGACAATGCCTCTACGGAGCTCAGAATAATCGAGAGTCATTCTTTTTGAAGAAAATGAGCTGACCAGAAGGGCATCCCATGAACAAAGAGGCAAATACCACACTGTCAATGGAGGTAGCAGATGATTACGAACCTACTATTAACGCCGAACCCCGTGGAAAATGCGCCATAACTAATCCACCTGGATAAAATGATGATGAAAACAGGAACGACCGTAACGTGGTCGATAAATATGAGAATAAACCATAGGGCTCTCTAATAGGCCATAATAAACGCAACGTCATAAAAGGCACGCCTGAGTTTGCTTCAGACACCTGAACCGACATAAGACACCATGATAAGAAAGGATCATAAAGAGTGAACTGATGCGATTCCTGGAAGTTCACGGCCTGCTATCGAAATGTCAACATGGGTTCTAAAAAGGAAGATCCTGCACGACAAACTTGCTGCAATCTCTCCAGAGCTGGACCCGAGCTCTCGACGAGAGGCACGTGGTCCACATAGCCTTCATCGACTTCCAGAAGGCTTTCGACACTGTGCCACACCAGGGGCTCTTACATAAACTTAAAAAATAGGGATCCATGGCAAATTCCTTAAATGGATTGAAAACTTCCTTTTGGGTCGACAGCAAGTTGTCTGCATCCGTCGGGGAAAATCAGACCCTGCTATGGTCGAGAGTGGTGTCCTCCAGGGTTCAGTACTGGGACCCATTTTGTTCCTTATCTACGTGGACGACGCTGCAAGAGCTTTAGACTGCGAAGTAGCAATGTTTGCCGATGACATGAAGATATGGAGTGTAATTCGGGGTCGCGCCGACGAAGACAGACTGCAGATGAACCTGAATCGGTTGGAGGAGTGGTCAAACAGTTGGCTCCTGCGGTTCAACGTTGCCAAATGTAGCATACTTCGCCTAGGCAACACAGCTAGATCTGCCAGTACAAAAGACTACTTTCTGGGCGGTGCAGCCTTGAAAGAGATCGAAGCCCAAAAGGACCTCGGTGTGCTGACGACCAATTCCCTAAAGCCATCCGCCCACTGCTCGAGAGTGGCAAAAACCGCAATGTCAGTACTGTACGCCATCGAGCGTGCGTTTATGGACTTTGACGAAGATGTTTTCTCAAAGACATTCGGAACATTCGTCCGACCGCGTTTGGAATACGGCATACAAGGCTGGAGGCCGTGGGCGGTTGAGGATCAAAACTGCCTCTAAAGAGTCCAGAGGAGAGCCACGAAGATGGTTAGGGGTCAAAGCTCCTTTCCTTATGCAACTCGCCTAGTAAATCTGAGCCTCTTTCCTTTGAGTTACAGGCAACTTCGCGGAGATCTCTTACAAGTCTTCCGCACTGCTAAGGGGTTAACTTGCAGTCTGGCCTTCGAGGACTTTTTTGAATTTGCTACCACGACCAAACTCCGAGGACACCCGCTAAAACTGCGCACTCAGCAGGGAAGGCTGGATGTGCGGAAGTTCTCCGTCTCTGTTTAAGTGGTCAAGCCATGGAATGCCCTTCCCGCGGATGTTGTGCTATCACCATCTATACAAAGTGTTAAAAAGAATCTGGATATATTTATGTTTTGAAATGACCAAGAGCGGTGAGAAGTAGAGCTCACCCCCTGTAACTCGTTCTCTTTTTATCCTACCATTATGGGCGTGTTTGAACTATTTCAGCCCAGAACATTTATCTGTATACCACACATTTTTTACGTCGCAAATAGGGTACTCAAAGGCTTACGCCTATTTCTCTCAATAAACTGAACTGAAGTGAACTGATATTTCAGCAATATATCAACTTCCTTTTAAAGAAAGTCAAGAACGTTACCGTAAGGCAGGCCTTCAGGATGAGTTGGATACAAGACTCAAATGATGAGTGGTACCAACCAAGACCACTTAAACGTGTCTTCCAGAATAACGAGCAAGCGCTACAACCGCTAAACCGAGAACTCGCACCCCGAAACGCCTAAGCAGCGATGTTTTGCAGTGGGACTTCTCACCGGTGGAGCGGGAGAAATGAACTGAATTCAAAACCGAACAAAACAGTAGATCCACCTTAGGTAAGAAAGTTATAAAATGCTGAATGGAGAAATCATTCATGTTTGTAAGTCATTCTCCTGGGCACAACCATAATACTGAGTACAAGGTACAGCCCAGTTATACAAAAGACCGATATCAGAAAGTCATGGTCGGTAATAGTTACTCGACACCTCACACGATCACGAGTGGCGTACTTCAAGGCACGGTTCTGGGTCCGCTGCTCTTCCTTCTGTACATCAATGATATTTCGACTGAACTCGGAAATTCGCAAACTTTTACTTATGCCGATGACCTCAAGTGTGTTTACTCATACTCTAAGGACACCGCAAACGTTTGTGTTGAAAAAAATTAATGCCGATTTACTACGCTTAAGCAGATGGGGTTCGACATGGCAGATTGAGTTTTCATCATCCAAGTGTAGTTTCATGTCTTTTGGTCCTACCAAACTCCCTGGTCCCATAATTTTTCAGAATAACCCACTCTCAGAATGCCTTACCATAAAGGACCTAGGTCTAAGTTATACAAATAAGTTTGCTTTATCACCTCATACAGATAGAATCTCTGCCAAAGCCGCGCAGATATGTGGATTCATATCGCATAATCTTTTCCTTCCGGAAAGGAAGCTAAGACATTCTCAAATGTTTGTTCTTACAGTCCTCGAATACTGCTGTCCTTTCTTCGGTTTAATGAACGCCTGCGATCGAAATAAAACCGAAAATGCTCAGAGGGTTTTCACCCGGAAACTGTTCTCTCAAGCTTCGTCCGGTATTTCTTATATTCAGAGATGTCAGCTGGCGAAAATTAAGCTTTTGTGGGTTAGAAGACTCGAAGCTGGCCTTTGCTTCCTTTTTCGCATCAACTCTAGCTCCAGTCTTCCGCTCATTGACACTCTCACTCCGAGAGATCGGTCTTATGCCACGCGCAACACCTGCACGGTGATTCCGCCGCCTCTTTGCACTACATCTAAGCGCTTCCTCTTTTTTGCTTCCAAATATGCCTTCCTTTGGAATAATCTTCCGCCTGAAATTAGATTGTCGCCTAAGTTACTGGTATCCAAGTCGAAATAACGCAAACACCTTACACCGGAAAGCATAAAGGCACTGTTAACGGTCTCATTCCCGAACACTCCGATTCTTGACTTCGAGAAGGGTCCTCCTGGGATTTAGTGGTAGATCAAGTGGTAACTCTTAATTATATTATTAGAAATTGAATTGGGTTTTAAATCCACTGCTATCACTCCTCCCCCATAGCGTCAATTTTTGCGGTTTTTGATGTCATCTCCCGCATTCCGACCTCATGCGGTCTGTCGACGCTCACGGCGGAACACTCGCTATTCACCGTCTACTAGTCGTTTGGCCGTACCTCCCTTCCCCACTGCTCGGCTGAGCTCGAAGCGTGCTGTGGCCGATCGAATCTGGCTTCCTCTCGTTTGGCCTCTTTGACGCGAATAGTCTCAGGCGGCGTATCAATCCGGCCCAGACGATGTCAGTTGTGAATCCCGTATACAATACCACATGCAGGTCAGTCCTGTGTGACCCGCATACGTACCCCTCAAGGCTGACATTTATTGCTACCCTGACGATGTCCAACTACAATCCATTATATACCGCCACCTACAGGCCAGTCATGCTCGCTTTTTCTGTCATTATCTTTATTGAGTTTTTTTTTCTCCTGTAAAATTAATCCAGTCATTTGTAACTTTTTGTATGGAGTTTTTTTTACCCCTCACTAATCATTTTTCTCAATTGACTACTAATTCAAAACTATGAATTGCATTTTGTAAATATTCAGCCTACCTCATCTAAAATTTACATATAAGTTTATTTTAACTTGCTTTGATGGGACCCCGACGGGTTTTTGATAAAAAATTATCTTATCTTATTTCTACAAAGCCATCCAGCGAACATGACGACAAACATAACAACTTCCAGTTTGATCAAACCGTAGTAGATTCGGACTCGGGCAGTGGACTGGATAGGTGCCACTAACATCGATTCAAATACCATTCGAAAGTCTCTCTGGGCAAAAATCCCTTTTCTATGCAAACGCGCAGAGTTTGTTCTAGAAATTAGATAAACGGAGATTACGGACATCAGATACGCAACCGGACGCCATTTGTAATAAAGAAACTTAGTGACAGGATGAAGTATTGAACGGCAAAATTGTCATTGATATGTATCAATGCTTTTGTTGAGAATGACTGCATAGGAAGAGAAAAATTGGCTGTATACGGCAAGAGGGTAATCATTGATTCAGAAGGCGGACTGTTAACCTATGTGACTGTAAAGCAGTGGACGCAAAATTATAGATGCGTAGAGCATAAAATATGAATTTCCTCTACGTGTACAAGACGCCAAATAATATTAATAGGCCGAGGAAGAAATGTTTGGATGAATTAAGGAGATAGTCCTGGACAAATACTTACCGATCGCAGAGATCTTGACGCACCGATGGTCTAGTTAAACAATTTACTAGTAAAAGGTTCTCATGGATTGTTTGACTTCAGACTACTAAAACTGATAATTAGTTTGTCTCTGATACAAGATGCCACGATTCTATTCGAAAGCAAGGAAACTCCAAGGGCGAATTGTCTGTAGCTAGTCCTTACAATAGACCCAATTAGTGTTGACGAACTTAAGTCCATAATGTCGTTTGGTAAGAGTGACCATGTCATGCTGCTGTAGGCATATGTCTTTCTCGCCCAGTAGTTAGTTTAAGTTAGTTTATTCAAGGAATGAGGCTTTCGCCCATGAGTTCCCTATCGATATTCATACACAGAAATAAAATCAATAATTAAATCAACAAATGCGAAAATTCAAAAGTCAGCGGTAGATGTGGGCCAGGCGCAAACTGCCGCCGCTAAAACAATCGTGATTATATGTACAGTAGTTTCTCGGCAAATGAGCATATAGTCTACACTTAAAGCATTCGGCAGTTTCGAAAAGAACGACCGCATCAGGGGGTCTGTTCCATGCCCCAATGACCCTGTGAGAGAAGGCGTTCAGTCGGACGTCCGAATGAGCCAGTTTCCTCTGCAGTTGGAAGGGATGACCACGAAGACGGTCAGTCTCGGCCGTTTCGAAGAATTCATTAAAGTCTAGGGCGCACTCACGGCCTCTGACAATCCTGTCGGTTTGAATGAGATCACCGCGCATTTACCTATAATTACAAGGAAATAGATTTAGTTCGGCCAACCTGGTTTCGTGAGGCAGATGATTACGATTCCTGACCATCTTCGTAGCTATCGCCTGTACTCCTTCCAGTCGTTAATAATCTTTCTTCAACCACG